CATGATCTCGCGGTTCGTGGGTTCGAGCCCCGCGTCGGGCTCTGTGCTGACTGCCAGCTCAGAGCCTGGAGCCTGTTTCAGTCTGTCACTCCCTCTCTCTCTGACCCTCCCCTGCTCACACTGTCTCTCTCTCTCTCTCTCCTAGAAATAAATAAAACATAAAAAAAAAAAAAAAAAGAAGTAAAGGCGGATGACACATCCGGCCCCGCAGTGACGACAAAATTCAAACCTGCTGTGAGTCCACTTAGAGCCAACGATACCCCAGGGCCCCGTGCTCGGTCCGGGGCTCTTCCTGACAGGGAAGGAGGGTGGCACCAGCGGGCACAGCTGTAGGCACGCAGAATCTTAGCAGGTGGACAGCAAGTAGCAAATGTCCTTCCTTCCAGGAGCCTTGGGCTGCCTGACAGAAGAGGGAGGCTGGGCATGTGTGCGGCCAGACGCAGCATCCAGGAGTCTGTCCCTCCAGGCCGGGCTGGATGGTGGCCTGCCCCGGGCCACCTGCCAGGACTCCAAGACACAGAACACTGGAGACCCTCGAGACTGACAGCAAACTGCAGCCAGGATGGCAGGCTCTCTCCCCAGCCCCCCTCTCCAGTGGGACCACTGAGGCCTGGATGGCCATTCAACACAACAGCCACCTGGCCCCTGTCCCTGCCTGACTGCACACCTGTCCCCTGCTCCTGGGGAGGGGGAAAAAAAAGGCAGGAAAGGTCCAGACTTGGGAAGCCGCCTCTTCAAAGAGAATGTTGCTAGGAAAGGGAAGGAGCTGGCTGGCAGGGGAGGGGGCGTTTGCTTCTTCATTTAGATCCTTCTGGATCACTTGAATTTTTAAGGACCGTGTATTACTTCTGCGACAATAACTTGTAAAAATAATTTTTGTCTGAAAAATGCAAAGCAGTACGCAAAAATCTGTTGGGAAGAGAAAAGTCTGTGCAACAAATAGCACAAGGGGTCATTAAGTACGTCATCAGCATCCTTCTGGTACGTGTCCCTGCGCCCGGCGTTCTGCTCTGTGTTTTTACACCCGTGATTTAATCTAAGCTCCCCACAGCCCTACGTGCTGGATGCTGTTGGTGCTATCATTTTCTAGATGAAAACACTGAATTTGAGAGAGGCTACGTAACACGCCCAAGGTCACCCAGCCTTGGGGAAGGGCTCTGAACCGTCAAGAGCCTGGAAGCAGCTCCACCATAGATCGGGGTGTGCCCGCGGTGCTCCTTCCTAATACTGCCACTGAGAAACCGACAGGCTCCAAAACCATTTGTTCTGCATCTGCTCCATGGCTCGAAAACCACTGACATTGCCAAGGAGTCAAAATCAAAAACACAGCCAGAGCCTGATGTCTCCAACCACCTTGGAATCTTGGACTGAGGCCAGGAGAGCATGTGTCACAGGAAGTCCACCACAATCCGTCCATCTGTCCATCCATTCACCAGCCAGTGACGGAAGGCGCCACGTGCCCGGCTCTGGGCTGGATCCTTGCAACTGGAGAGGGCGAGAGGCCCACGGCCACCAGGAGAGGGACCAGGTGAGCATAGGGCAGATTGGACCCCTCGGTGCCTTCCAGTCTGTATGCTTTGCTTCCTCTACAAATTTCCAGTCCCAACGACTGGAATCCAAACAGACATCAAAGGGGGAATGAATGAAACGCAACCCCGCAATCCAGGCCCAGCGGCAGGCCATTCTTCTTCTCCCAACTACTTGGTTTGCGTAACGCTGGCCCAGGGCTTGACGATCCAACCCTTCCGGCGGCTCCGGGTGCGGTGCCAGGCTGGCTCTGGCATTTCACCCAGGCCTCTGCCCTGAGACGGAAAGGGAGAGGTTATGAAAGGTCCAGGAGCTGGGGACACAGGTGAGATTTCTCCCAGGGGTCCGGCCTGCCGAGCTGAGCAAATCGTTCTCGGCATGAGCTCACTTGGCCAACGGTGTGAGCAGGGCTGGCTGGAGGGCAGCCCCAAGTGCCGCTGAGCTGCCCAGAGCAGGGAGTCTGGGCATCCTGGTCAGCTCTCAGAGGCCCAGGCACGTGGCAGGTATTCAGGAAATACTTGACTACTCAGTGAATAAATGTGGTTTTGAGGAAGGCAGCTCTCTGTCCCCATTTGGAGATGGGAGGGGTGTGACTTGGCCTGATCACCGGATTTGGGGGGACACGGACTCAGCTTCCCTATAGGCAATATACACCAAAGACCATTGAGGATTCCTCCCAGAATCATGAAACTGAAATACGTAAATAATAAGGAGACACACAGCATGAGTGCTGTCACTGAGTACTGACCCTCTGGCGGGCAAGCTGGTGAGTACTTTATCTCATTAATTATCTCATGAAATCTCCACATCAGGTCTGTGAGATATGTAGTATCATTATCCCCAATTTACAGATGAGAAAAATCAAGGCTCAGAGGGCCAAGGCCATACGACTAGCAGAGCAGAGCTGGGATCCGCACGCAGGTCTGACTCAAATTAAATGTCGACAGCTGGCAGGGGCCGCCTCCCTAGTTTACAGATGAGACCGTACAGGAAAGGGAAGCTGAGGACATGGGTGGCAAGGCTGGGGCCGGAACCCAGGCCTTCTAACCCCCAGCCCAGGCTCTGCCGTGGCTTGCGAAGTTACAGGTGAACACCGTTTCTCCGGTCCTTAAAGAACCTCGGAGTTGGGGGGATTACTCTGGGTCCCTGTGCAGCAGCCCATCTTCTGAAGGGGTCCTCCGCCACTCCCTTTCCTGAGGATGGAGGGGGGGAAAGGAAAATGGAAGAGCCACTCTACTCCTAACCTGGGCTGTAGTTTAAAGGCAGACTTGAGGGTGGCCACGCAGCCAAGCCTGGAGGCCAGCCGGGAAGAAGTTGTCTGCATCTATCTCCTTTCCTGCCTGGCACAGTCTTCCAAGCCCTAGGGTCCAACCTCCAGGCTTCTGCTCTCACCGTTTGTTCCTTCCTGGCATCCTTGCCTGTCCGGTACCCCAATTTTGAGAGCCCAGCTGGGAGGCACTGCATTCCTGGACCCTCACCCCGCCACCGTCGCCACCCAGACGTGACCTTTGGATCTGGCCTTGGAACTCACCAGCTTTCCTTTATAATTCTGCCCTGAACCCTCTTATTCTCTGCCTTGTATGTCTTTGCTCTTGGGTCTGTCTCCTTATGACTGGCCGGGAGCCCCTCGAGAGGCGGATCTCTGAGGTGCTTCTGAAGGAGCGAGGTACAACGGGAGTGAAGGCTGGCCAGTTCTTTCTGTTTACTTGGGCACCTGCCCCCAGGGTCGCCCCCTCCCTCTCCAGGACCCGTGGCCAGCTGTGTCTTGCACTCTAAGTCCTACAGGGTGGGGACCAAGCCACTCTAGTATCTCTGCAGCATCAGTGGGGGCTTTGAAAAATAGCGTGGGAAAGCATCAGCTCGTAGACCTTCACCAAGTTCAACTGTGGCTCAGCACTGAAGGAGACACCGGACAAGGAGGAAAGACACCCAGAGGAAGGGTCCTGCCCTCAGGGGATCTCCCAGAACAGAGGACGGGCACCTCTCAGCTTTGCTCACTCTCCAGCCCCAGCAAGGGAAACCGCGCCCGGCACCCGGTGAGAACGTAAGAGCCGCTGGCTGAAGAAATGAATTAATGCTCATTGACCCAGCAGCACTGAGCACACCATATAAGGCCGGTGGTGCCGACCGCTGAGCCGGTCTATGTGATGAGTCAGAGCTGCAGAATCCACAGGCAAGAGAGATGGAGAGCAGAGAGAGAGAGAGAGAGAGAGAAAGAGAGAAGCTGGTGAAGGGCAAGATGCTCTGTGGTTGACCAAAATCAAGCAAAGGACAGAACGTAAAAAGCTCTTGGCCACAGCTGTCTGGGAGGCGGCATCAGAGGCTGCGGTTTTCAATCTTTTTCCTGCAGAGCAATCTTTTTGCAAATGAAATCATACACCGCACCCTAAATGCTTAACAGAGCTGCTGCGGTGGACGTCTGTGGAAGCCGAGAGGCCGGCCGCTCTCCCGTACCGGGAACCCCGGTACGGAGGCCCCCGGCTCCACAGACATGGGGTCCTGCGTCCTTCTCCTCCCCTCCCTGCTGAGTCGCCTCTGAGTGGTGCTGGCTGAGGGGAGGGCTGGGCCTCAGTTGTTCTTCTGAGAAGGAGGCCTTCCCAGGCCCAGCGCTTCTGGAGCCCATTTAGGGCAAATACACCCTACAGCGGCTCAAGAAACGATCCCAGGCCACGGGGGAGTGGGAGGAGGAAGGAAAAAGTCCTCCCAGCAAGTAGAGGGGCCCCCAAGGCAGCCAGATACGGGATGGCTTCTCCGGAGCACAGGAACTCCATATGGGGGCAATCCTTCTGGAAAGTGAAGCATCACCGGGAGGTGCACTGTGTGTGAGTGCGTGTGAGTGGGTGAGTGTGGGCGCACTCAGATTCTGGATCCACAGAAACCGCGGTGCACCTGCCAGAGCAAGGCCACCCCCGTGCCGTCAGCTACAGGAGGGACCCTCTGGGACAAATCAGCATTGCTGTTTGCTCCATGTCCCCCACCCCCTGTCCTAGCATCAACAGGCTCACCTGTTGTTTTGTCTGCCTAGCATCCCTTCCTCCTTCTGAAAATAGCACCCGGGTTTTCCCTCTGGGGCTCCAGCCCTCTCCCAATTTCAATTACCCTTTCTTGGATTCTGAGCTTTCCCTGTGCCCATCCTGTCCTAAGCCCTTTTCCTATATTACCTTATCTTATCTTCACAAACCCAGAGGGGGGGATGCCCTTGCTTCCCTGTTTGAACGCTGAGGAAACTGAGGCACAGAAAGGGTGACGAGGAACCTGCCCAAGGTCACGCAGCTAGTAACTGGTGGCGTCAGAATTTGAACCCAGGTCTGCTGGACTTCAGAGCCTGAACCACAGGGCTCTCCTGCTCTTGAAGGGTATAAAATATGGCACCATGATGAAGAATGATCGGGGGACCCTGCTGATGATTTCTATGAGTGACAACAACAGATGCAGCACAGAACCCAGTGCTGAGCAAGCCTGAACTCCCTTACCTGGGTGGCCGGCGTTGGGAGGTCTGGAAAAGGACTGGGCCTGGGTCTAGACGCCGAAGTCAAAGGTTTCAAGTTGCTCTGATGACGATGTCGGAAGCACTCTAGTCTCGGCCACTTTAAGCCCGGGCGGTCCAGGTGATGCCCACCTGTCAGGGACAAGCAGGGTCAGCCATTAGCGCCTGGTCGGGGGAGATCTCATCAGCTCCTGCTGCCCTACGTGTCTTCTTTTTGTTTGCGATGCTCTCCAGGTCCCCAGGGGGCGGTGTGACGGGGCAAAGACAGTGGGAACCTGGGGTCATGCATCGGAGTAGCTAGCGGTCCCACCTGAACTTGGCCGGAAACGAGGCTAAGACACAAAGATATGCACAGGCCTGTGTGTGTACGCCCTGCATAAAAGTACATAAGCATCACACCCACCGCGTCTAGCACCGCGGCCTTTGCAGAGCGGGGAAGCGCGACAAATGCATCACGGTTTGCTTTGATGTAAAACGTAAATGTATATGCTGCAGTGAGCGGGTGGAAACTCCCCCAGAGTCTGAGTGCATGGGAGGAGAGCTCCTTCCTCAAGTGAAAGTGTATTCCTGGGACGCTCCTGATGTAGCCAGGCCTGGGGCTTCGTTTTACCAGCAAGGAGACTGGAGCCCAGAGAAGGGCAGGGACAAGTCCAAAGTCACATGGCAAGTTGGTGGCAGAGCGGGGCCTAAACCCTGCGTCCCTCCCGACTTGTGGCTGGGTGTTCCCTCCAAGGAGGCACCCTCCTTTGTAGCGGTCGGACGTGCAGCCCGGGCACAGGGCTGGGATCTGCCACATACTGTCAGACGGCCGCTGGTCACAGGCTAGAGCAGAGAACTGTTTCCTAGCTGTGTTCAGACCCCAACAAGGTACAAGAGTCATTGCCCAGAGCGGTCAGAAGCATGGCCTTTGGAGGCAGGTAGATCACGGCCACATGCTGGGGCACTCTTCTTCCAGAAGCGGACCACTGGGATTAGTACTCTGGTGTCCACTCAGAACATCAGTCTCTTCGTCTATCGAACAGGGATAATAACAGCATCTCTCTTCGGAGACTGCAGGCAGTTAAAATGACTTCCATATGTCTGTGAAGCCCATGGCAGAGCATTCGCTCAATAAATGTCAGGGATGTGACGCAGAGGAGAATACGGTGATGGGCTGCACAGGGAGGGGGAGCCCTGGACTGGGGTTTGCTCAGTGTCCCTGGCGAGTCTTCAGACAAAAATCTCAGTTCCACCGAATCATTCATTCCTTCTGCCCCCACCTTTCTCCCTCTTCGCTGCCTCTCACAGAGCAGCTGGGGGCCCCGGCCCGGAATATCTGCCTGCGGGATCCCCACCGCCCAGCCCACATTTCAACAGTGGGCAAAATGCAAATGTCATTAGCACTCTGCACGCCAGTGGCAGCCCGCTCTCGCGAGAACTGAGCCGCGTTTAGGGATGGGGGGGTGACTTCCCCAGGAGGGGTGGAGTTCTCGGCTGTTTTCGGAAGGGGTACGGTAAAGAGAGACAGAAGTGGCCTCAAGAAACAAGGGGGGTTGTTTTAGCAGTGTGCGGTGCCCCGAGGCCTTCCTGACGGCGTCACCAAGGCACCTGGAGTCCCTGCCTCAGCCTCCATCTGAATGATGGGTGCGTCCCAGCCTCTCTCGGCCTCTTCCCCACACATACTTGAAGAAGAGGCTCATCTGGGGGACGCACAGCCTCCATGTTTCATTTCCACCCCAACCCACCCTTCCTCATACATACTGAAAGATGCAGACCACCCACTCAATTGACAGACCCTTGGTGGGGTGGGGGGTCTTCACTCCCAGGAGGACGCAATGGACCCTCCGTCCCCGAGTCTTGCAGGCAGGGGTCCTGGGTTCCAGTCCGAATGCCACACTAACTAAGGTAAGCACCCAGGCACAGGCTCCCCGTCGTGGGGCCTTGGTTTCTCCATCTGTGAGAGGGGGTGTTGGGCCCATTGGCAGTCCCTACAACCTCTCACGGTCAGCTCCCAAGCCCGGCTCTAGTAACGTCCAGACGGAGCTGCCCAAATAAGGCCACTCTCCTCTAATTTCCTGATGACTGTGCATGGATGGCCCCAGCGGGCACATGAAGGCTTCCTGGAGGAGGGGGCAGATGTGTGTGCATGGAGATGAGTGCAGGGTGCTGTGGGCCGCAGGGCGGGGTGAGCAAGGGCATCAAGATACCCAAGTGGGGAGCCTCGAGCCAGGGCCGCCTATCAGGGCCGAGCGGGAGATGAGACGGAAAAGTCCTGGGGTCGGTGCTTCACGCCATTTCCCCATCTGATCCTAACTGTGCCTCATTCCCATTTTACCGATGAGAAGCTAAAGCTCAGAGAGGTTAGGAACCTTGGCAGACGCATGACCGTTAAACAGCACAGATTAGATTTGAACCCGCAGCCAATTTCAGAGCAGAAGCTCTAGATCACTGTGGGCAGCCGCCCGCCACCTAGACTGTTTAAAGTAGAATGCGAACTAGGGAAACGCAGGGTCACGTGCGTCCTGAACGCAGGTGGACGAGCGTGGTGGCACGCGAGGGTGAGCAGCACTGTGGCTACGGCGAGGGGAGGAAGTTGCATGTGGGAATGTGCGTACGCTGCCCTCGTGTGCGTCCCTGTCCAGTGATGCTCCAGCCCTGAGTCTGGGCCCAGAAATGCCAGGTGGGCAGGGCGTGGCGGAGGGGCATCAGGGCTTGGGAGTGGGCAGCCCGAAGGCCCAGGCCGTCCCACAGCAGCCTGGGAAGCCCTGTTCTCCAGGCTGTGAGCTGGGCCTCCCCTGCATCACTTCCCCTGACTTCCACATGCCCAGAAGCCGACTCCCCTGCTGCCATGGAGGGTGGCATGTCCTGATCTTGGCCCGCCTCTTCCTTGGCTCGGGCTGCCTGCCCCAGCCAGGGCACAGGACCTGCAGATGGCACGGGGCCGCCGCCAGCAGGTAGGGAAGCCAGCAGCTGCCCCAGCGGAAGGCAAGTCAGCCCTGTGGTCCAGCCCCGGCCCTGCCACCAGCCACTGGCCCTGCGACCTGCCTGAGCCTCAGTGAGATCCCGCTGAGCTGTGGAGATGACCACTAAGGGCAAGTGCATGCACACTGTGAAGTGCTGTGCCCTCCGATGGGGCCGCGGTTCTAATCCCAGTGGCCAAGATGACCCAGAAAGTAACAGAGAGTCCCCAGGGAGGCTTGACTGAGCCTCCAGCCCATGCCTTTATGGAACTCCCCTTCTCCGCTCTCCTGCGCCTCAGTTTCCTCATAGGTAAAATCGAGGATCCTGGAGCTCCGATACGGAGTGGTCGACAGCCCCCCCGGGTCTAGTCTTCTTTGCCACGATTTGCAGTTGATATGGTGTCTGGATTTCATTTGCCAGAAACCAGAAGGCCATTCACGCGGCAGCGAGCTGAGTACACGGAGCCTGGGACAGGCACACTCTGATGGAAGGGAGGGGGCGGTAAATGGCTGACCCAGAAGGAATGTAACGAATCTGGGAAGACAGAAGGAAGCCTTCAGGAAGGAAGGAGGCAGAGCTGTCGACAGGTGATAGACCCGGGCAGAGTCTTTCCCTGAGGCTGCGCTGGGCTGGCCCCGGAAGCCACAGAGAAGACAGAAGCTCTCCTTCCTGGGACCACAAGCAGCACGGGCACGCGCTCATTTGGTGAGCACTGATGGAACACTCGCCGTGTACCTGGGACTCCAGGGGTGCCAGAGATGCTCAAGGCACGGACTACGCCTTCAGAGAGGCTCACAGTTATGGGCGTGAGAAGACAATGCCCTTGTCTTCACAGGTCAAGGTGACAAGGAGGGCTCATCACTTAGCTCTGAGTTCAGACGCAGGAGAGGTGCCTCCCTACTTCCTGGAGGAGGGGTCAGGTTTAAATAGAAGATGACAGGAGGGTGCTGTGGGCAAAGGGCTCAGGGTGAGCAAAGGCGCGGCAGTACCCAAGTGTGGGCTGGGACTTCCGGACCATGAGCCGGGGCGTTTTCCTGTTGGGGCAGAGTGGGAAGTGAAGCAGGAAGGGGAGGCAGGGGCTGCATGGGCAAGGTCTTGGAATGCCAGGACAAGGAAGATGAACTTTGTCCACAGGTAATGGGGAGCCACTGATGGTCATAGAGCAGAGGTGTGCTTCAGGGAGATGAGAAGCAGGAAGGGGCCCAGGTGGGTGGAAGCAGATGATGAGGAGATGGATGAGCGAGATGGGCTGAACCTGGTAGAAGTGGCGGGGGGCGGGGAGGGGTGGTGGTAAAGGTATGATGGAGGTGGGGTGGGGGCTGAAACTGACATGCCAGGGGGCAGGGAGATGGGTGCGGGAGGAAAGACAGATCTAGGCCCGTAGGGTTTGCCTGCCCACTCTCCACTGCCACCGACTCATGGCCTCAGGCAGGTCATTGAACCTCTTGGGCCTTCTTTCTTCTCTAAAAAGTAAAAAACGTAAAACCACTTCATAGGGATGTAGGATTCAACTTGATAATATGCGAAGCACTTTAAGCCCAGTAAGTGATGGTTGGATGCATGCTTTCTAAAATTTAAGCATTTTATTGCTTTTAGTAATTAGTGGTGCCTTCCCCCCAAAAGGACACTGAAGCTCAAAGTCAAATGGTTGGCTGTAGTTGACAGTGCTGGGCCTCAAATCACAGAGAAGCAAGTTATGAGCAAATAAATCTGGGTGACTCAGAGAAGAGTCTTGATTTTAAAATATTGCTAAAGAAAAGGGACGCTTTATGACTTTTGCACTGTGCGCTTATTAAACCCAAGCTATAAACGTGAACTAATAAGTAAAACGAGTTACGTTAATGAAAAAAATCAACCTTCAGGATGAATCCATATCACCTAATGGCAGTCCATAAACATAAACATAAAAATTTTAAAATACCAGAATGAATTGCAATGTCCAGCCGCTCAAGGAAGCTGCAATTTCTCTCTCTGAAAAATAAAAGCTATTGATTTTAGCTTGGGTTCTCATTGCTCATGAGTGAGTCTTTGAGAAGTCATAAAGGAAGGAACTATTTCCAATTGTTTACTCACTAAGGATCACATGTATTGAATTTAAATCATCTCCGATTCCTAATTAGTCCAAACCAAATTAGAATCTAAGTACAGAAGAACTGAAAAGGCCCTCGGAGGCCTCTGAGCTCAGTTTTCTT